TACTTCTGGTATATTATCTTTCTTTCATATGAAGCTTGAGATATTGTAGACTTCTTTTAGTACTACCCTTTTTTTTTGGCTATTTTTCTTTATTTTGGCTTCTTCTCTATATACTTCTTGTTGGCTACATTCTTTAAACAAATTTTCATAATCTTCTTCCTAAACTTCTACTTTTACAAGCTTTTTTTTCTTTCTAATAATATGGCTAATTTTATTTTTTTTATTCTCTTTACCTTTTATAAGCACTTATTCCTTCTTTCTTTTGTCAGATAAGATTTTTCTTTCAGCTTCTTGTACTTGGAATCCTTTTCTTTTTTAGTACTCCTTCTTTACTTCTCTTGATTTCTTGTCTTCTGGAATTTTATTCTCTAAAGTTTGGAACCACTTTGCTTTTCTTCTGATATATCTCTTTCCTTCTCTTACTTTGAGTTGTCTCTATATTATTATTCTTTCTTGTTTATTGTCAAGTAGCTGATTTATATGCCATAAATTGAGCCTGCTTATACTTTCTTGTACTTCTTTTATGTCACATTTATCAAGTATGCTACTAATAAGACAATTTTTCTCTCTTTCAAATTTATAAGGTTCTAACCTGCTATGAAATTATTTTCTACAATACTTAGACTAAATTCTTTTGCATATTGTATTATTGTAGCTTCCAGGTTTTTATACTTTGTTTTTTTCTGGTTCATATTTTCTGCAGTAAGTATACACTTTGGCATATTCATATCTAGCAATATTAATCTATATTTATAACTATTCTACCTTTAGTTATATAAATAATACTACATAATATACAGAAAATCTGCAAACTATACAAGAAATTCTCAATGATACTAACAACTTATATAAATTAAATAATATTGAAATTAATTCTACTAAATCAGATTTTTTACATATTTATTCTAGATCAAAAATCTAACAACTAAACTAACAACTCTAATATAATAATCAAACAATAAAACCTTGTAATAAACAGAAATAATAAGATATCTTAGTATATTTTTAGATAGTCAAAGCTTATCTCAACTTACATATGAAGCTATCTTCAATAAAATAGAAAATTTTCTCTTACTTACTTTCTACAAAAAACTTATACTAACTCAAATTTCTAAACTTTTCAATCTAATCTTACAACTATCTCTTGAATATTTCTTTTAAATAGTTACTTTATATCTATTTTAACAAATAAAACTCTCTCACCTTCTTATAATATATACTAAAAAATCTCTCTTACTTACAAAAAATACAAATAATATAATCTTCACAAATTTTTTATCTTTTAACTTTCCTATATTTACAAATATAATTCAAAAGTTTATATATTATATATAGATTAATTTCTTAATAACAATACTCTGCTTAAAGCTATCTTTCTATTGAGAATAAAAAATTAGTTATACAAAATATAACAACCTCAACTCTCAACAAAACTTTTAATATATTACTCTTGTAAAGTTAATAATTATAGTTTAATTTTTCAACTTTTACAACTAGCAAAAAACAATATTGTTTTAGCAAATATCAACTCTTTACTCCTACTTTCATCTCTACTCTCTTCATTACAATCTAATATTTATAATATTTTATTATTAAATATTAATTTTGCAACTACAAATAGTCTTAGAAATAACAAACTTCTTTTTATTAAACAAATTACAATAGCTGACAATCTATACTTTCTCTCTTGGAATAATATATATCTTTAAACAAACAAATTTATAAAAAAGAAACTACTAAAATAGTTTTTACAACTAACAACTAAATTAAACAGCCAAACTATCTCAGAAAAATAACTAGATCTCAATTTTCCTCAAACCAACTACTTTCTCAATACACTTGAGTACTTTTCTCTAAACAATCCTAAAAATAATCTATTATACTATTTTTATTAATCTAATACTTAATTATATTTTTAATATAATAAATTACCTCACAAATCTTACTCACTAATTACTCAAAATATATCTAAATATAGACAAATATAACTACAAACTAACAAATTTACCTTTTCTCTTAATTTAAATTTTATTAATATTTTTAGTTCTAAAATATATAAAAAGGATAATATTTATAATATCCAAATTAATTTTTTAAAAATTCTTGCTTTAATCAAAACTCAACAACATTATTAATTAATACAACTAAATCAAAATTTACCTTTCTCACAACTCACTCTTCCTTCTTATGATATACAAATTATTCAAAATTATATACAACCTTACTTATATCAAAACTAACTAATCTCTATTATCAAATTCTGGATCTAAATTCTAATAATCTTTACTTCTATATAGATGCTTCAATTAAAAATATCAAAACTCCTTAAATTAAAGCTAGTATTGCTTGAATCTCTAAAAGCATATCAAATATATATTTTAATGTAGCTATTACTCTATATCCTGATTTTTCTAAAACAGAAATAGAAGCATACTATATCTACTATTTACTATTTTTTCTAATTCAACTATCAATATTCATCTTGATAACAAAACTACTATCAATTATCTAAAATCTTCAGCTAATACTACTACTATACAAGAGAAAAATTAGGATATAATTTTTATTATTAACTAAATTTTAACAAAAAAACAATTCCAACTTATTGCTTATAAAGTTAAATCTTATAGGTCTAGTAATCTTAGTATAGTGGTTAGGTTGTCAGACTGCTATGCAAGAGATCTAGAGTTCAAATCCTGCTGTTGACAGAATTGAATAATTACTTAGACTTTTGTATTCAACTTATAGTAAATTCTGTTCATTTCTGAGAGTTGTAATCCTATAAATCATATTACACTAATATCATTCAGATATTGGAAGTGTAATAGAGCATTTGAGGAATGTAATATTACATAAATAAATCTTAATAGGATCTACAGACAGGGGACCTGCATAGCAGAAATCCTGAGTTAGATAAAGTAGTATGAATTTTAATAGTTATACTAGTTAACATTTAATCTGGAGATGAAAATCTGTATACGAAAAGATCAGCAACTAAAATACAAATAAGTTTATTAGGAAACCTGTATACAAAAAGATCAGCAGAATGAGTGCGCATAAGTCCATTACATGATGTCATATAGCAACACCAACTTGGCTTGGTAGTGTGAATATAGAAATGACTGCGACTCGGTCGCTCAACAATACCAAAACTCACGTAACCAAAGGTAAGTAACCTTACGAAAGAGGTGTGTTAGATTAGGCTGAGGGATGTTAAGGCTTGGGTTACTTGGGTCACAAAGTTGGTTACGAGTGTCCGGAAGGTTTGGGTCACGTGAACAATAGGTTAAACGAACAACAAAGTATAATTTAGGACTTAAGGAGTATGTTAGCGATGCAGTGCTTAATGTAATATTATGAGCGATTTATTTAATAAAATTGGGACTTTTATATTTTTATCAAGCAAGCGAGACTTTTTTTTCTCGGGGACAATTAGGCCCTTTATTTATAATAACTTTTTAATTATGAATTATTTTATTACATAAATTTCGTTTTTACTTTTAATTTTATTTTTCTAATTTCTTTATTCAAATCACTTTAACCATTAAACCCCCTTTTGATAATAAATTTACCTTTCGCGATATATTTAAGAAATAATATTAATTCAATTAATTGAATTAATTGAATTAATTGCTGGGATGCCTATATTTGGCAACTGATCTGCATATCTGTGGCAAACGTGATCAATCCTAGCTTGTTCGGATCACGTTATTTGAACCTCACAACACTAACAACTAATACACTGAACTACTAATACACTAAACTACTAATATATTAAACTACTAATGCACTAAACTACTAACAAGAGTAAAGTAAATTAATTATAGATGCACTTTTTTATTTTTATAAATTATATGCTATAAAAATTTTTTTAAAATTATATTTAGACTTTGCTCAGATTATTTTTTTTGAGAGATAAGTATTTTTCGTAACAAAAATCTATATAAAATCTTTAGAATTTTCTGAATATTTTTAAATTTTCTGAATATTTTAGAAATATTCGAGAAATTTAAAAATATTCAAAAAATTCTAAAGGTTCAATATATATTTTTGTTATAAAAATACTTATTTCTCAAAAAACTAATCTGAGCAAAGTCTAAGTATGATTTTAAATTTTTTTTTTATAGAGATACAAAAAAATTAAAAGCTAACAATATTATGTTAATATTATAGTCTATATAAAACTATAAAGGCTATAGATAATTTCTCAGACAATGATCTTAATAATTATAATGTTAATTGTGATGTTAATAATATAGCAATAAATGATATAGTGATAGATGATATAGCAATAGCAACCTCTAGTAAAACTTTTAATAAAAATGCTAGTAGAACTAGTAAAACAATCTTAGAAATCACTAGCAAAAATAGCAGTGAAACTACTTATAAAATTAATAATAAAACCACTAGTGAAATCACTAATGAAACTGCTAATAAAACTACTAATGAAACTACTAGTAAAATTACTAGTAAAATCATTAGTGAAACTACTAGTGAAACCACTAGTGAAACTACTAGCAAAACTATTAGCAAAACTATATCAAGATATATATCTGAAGTTTGAAAAAGTTTTTCCCTATTAAAGGAGAAACAAAAAGCTAAATATAACTATTGCAAAAGACTACTTAGTTATAAAAAGAGAAATAAAATATCTTATCTAAAGCATTACTTTAATTCTTGTCAGAAATACAAAAGATTATCATCTAATGAGTTTAATTCAGAGACAAATAGTTAAACAAAATTGAGATTTATCACAAACTGAATATCTACAAAAGAGTTAACCTAAAAAGATATAGCTGATATGGTGGTTTTGGATGAATTGAGTTTGCAATTTGTAGAAGGGCAGAGTTTTTATAAGCTTATTAATGGACTATTACCTGATTTTATAGTCAGTGCTAACATGATAAAGTAAGATATTATGAGCACTTATAATAAAAGAAAGGTGCAAATAAAAATATACTTAAAAATATTAAAGGCAAAATTTCTCTCACCTGTAATTTCTAGATATTATTTCAATAACTTGAATACTTAGCAATTACTAGCTATTTTTTTGATAAAGAATAGAATTTTATTTCTATTCTATTGTTATTTATATTAATTCCTTATCTACACACTGGTGTTAATATCACCAATTTTATAAAGGCTAAAATAGATAAATGGTCTATTACTACTAAGGTAATTATAGTTTAATTTTAACTAGTATTTTTAACTTTAGGATTAGAGTAATTTTAAGGTTAAAGTCTGATAGAATTATGAATTTATAATGTATATTATAACTTTATATAATTTATTATAGTTGCAAACTATTATTCTTGATAATGTGTTTTTGAATAATATCATGATATATAAACTAGCTTAAAATATCTTCCAAAACTAATTTAAAAAAATAAATAAAGATCTTTTTCATAACTAATGTTTTGCTTACATATTAAATATTATTGTAAAATATAGTTTAAAGAAAATATTAGAGGTTATGAAAAAGGTAATTTTATATTTATTTAGTACAGTACAAGTATTCTAGTTCTATTAATATTTTAAAAAGGTTTAATAAAGATTCAATTAATGTATATATATATTAAAACTATATTGTATTGTTATAAATTATTTGATACAATTAGACTAATTGCACTATATAATAATTTTAATAAATAATATGAGAATAATAGTTTCATTAAAATTGTTTAGATTTGTAATTGCACTAAAGCAATACATATATCACCAAAGTAATAGCAAATTTTCTTAGATATTTGTAAATCTGAATATGTAAAACCTGTAATTCTACTATTAGATTGTAAGACCTGTTAGAATTCTATATATTTAATATTGTAATCAGTTACTGAATTTAAGAATGTAAATGTTAGAATAAAAGATAGAAATAAAACATTTCTGATATATCTGATAATAATGAATAGAGAAATGCAAAGGCTGTCTGTGATATTTTAAAATGTTTTATAATTGTAAGTTTTTTTTTAATAAAGTTGCTGATGAATAGATTAGTGGATTATTAGATTCTTCTATATAGTTTTTGAAAATTAATATAAAATTAATAGTGCTATTAGTAATTATATAGTACAAATCTAATATATCTTTTTTTTTAATTTTTAACAAAAATTAGTTACTTTAAAAGTATCAGCAAGTTCCTATCTAACTCTTAATCATACTCTTGCTTCGATTTGGAATATTTGTATTTATCTTCTAAATATGAAGTCTGATATAAATAACTTTATTCATAATATGTATTAAAGTATAATAAAGAAGTTTAATAAGTATTAGGAAAACTGCAGTATTTTACATATGATTGCTTGTATACTTGATTCTTATTATAAAATGCAGTTTATTACATATTATTATCATGAAAAAGAAAAGTTATAAAATTATAAGCTTAATGAAAAACTACAAGATATTCAAACAAAGTATGTTTATTAATTTTTAATAAATATTCTTTATACAGTATATGTTAAAATACTAATATTAAAATCAGATTTGAAGATATATATCTTTATATATATTATTCTTTATCAACTGTTAAATATTCATCAAATAATAATAAGATGATTGTTGATACTGAAACTGATACATTAATGTTCGAGGACCATGTTGATGATTTTTTTAAATATGTAGTAAAACAAATATATGCTAGTAAAAATGATTCGCTTTATGAAGTAAAACAATATTTGGATAAACAAATTGCCATATAAACTACTAATATTTTTGAATAGTAGAAATATAATAAAGGCTAATTTTTTATTTTATTTGTAATGACTCAAGACTTTCTTTCTATACCTGTTACAAGTATTGATTCTGAATGAGTATTTAGCTATACAGGTCATATTATTAATGATAGTTGCACCTTATTGGATTCAAACACTATAACTGCATTGATATATCAAAGAAATTAGTTAGAAGTAATTGAAAAATTTGGTTGGAATTTATAAATTTTTTTTTTTTTTTTTTTTTTTTTTTAAAAAAAGCGAGGTTTGTTCACTTTTTCTTTATTAAGTAAATATAGTGTGAATGTGGACTACATTTTGAACTACTCTACTATGTAATAGAATTTGGAAGCTAGAGCTAATTTACTCCTGACCTAAACTTTACTAAGAAAGGTCACAAACCTACTCAGATTAAATGTGATATCTCTTTAGGTGAAGTGTTATAGATAATAAATTTGTTTAGCCATATATTGTATTTCAATTGATATACATCTGGTGTTAGCCATTCATGCTTTGGAGCTGTTAGAATTGTTATTTCTGTTGTTTGATTAATATTATTACTACTGACTACAATTCTGCTAGATATCTATATTTTGGTGTAAATTTTTTATGATAGTATATGCATAAACTTGGTTGTAAGTTTAGCAGAAAGAAAAGATTAAGTTGGTAATATATTGTATTGTAATATTATACTAGGAGTTATGGGTCTAGTTGCTGCACATGTTGTACTAATTATTTAGTAGATAAATTTCCTTTTATCCTCATTAGAGATATTGAGTTCATCTTTTATATCATCTAGGGTTTTAGATATAGCGTGCTATATTGTGTAGTTGTTTGTTCTGCATACTAACCAATATACCTGATCTTCTAATTCTCTGCTACACCTTGGATATATCAGGTTTTGGTATTTACTAGAATGTCAATAATAAAGATTTAATAGTGTAAGTAATTCGCTTGTAAGTAGTTTGACTTTAAAAGTCTTAAGTTTTGCTGCTGTTATATTAGTACTACATGCTAATAGTCTGCCTTCATAGTTTATATAGTTATATATCCATTGCCAGTTAATTATATGCTATGATGTTGAAAGTAGTACTATTCTATTTTGCGAGTACTATTGTACTAGATTTTTTGCATTAATTAAATATCTTAAAAATCTCTTAGTATTATGTGTAATGATTTGACATAATATTGTAGAAATGAAGTTTCTATGTAAAAATTTGTAACAATTAAGCTCTGTTTTGTATATAATTGCATTTTGGTGTATATACAATATTTCTTTGTTAAAAGTTATAGCTATTTGTATTTCTTTAGTTGTGATCATAGCTTTAACTCCAGTTATTAATACCTAATAATTATATAGGTATAGTTGTTAATATGTATGTTCATTGGCTTAAATAATATTCTACAAATTTTGTTATGTAATATAGTTTGTAGTTATATTAATTAGTGATTTGAGCGCAATAATTAATACTATTACTGCTATAGCTAATAAAAATAATTTTAACTGTGATAGCTAGCATGTGCTTGAAATTTGAATAGGTTGAGATATTGATGGACTGGATATATTACTAACAAATGTATGTTGTCTGTTATATATCTGGATGTGGCTTAAGATTTGTATATCATATACTGGCTATACTAGTATTGAGTGATACAAATCCTATAGAAGTGTATTAATATTCTCGAAACTTTGTATAAATTTCTATGAACTTAGAAATCTTTTGGCTATAAATGGTGTTCATGGTATGCTTATGAGCTTTGTTTGTTTAGTTTTGAAACTTTGCTTTATATCTTCCATATTGCTTAGAATTTTTCATTTTTTAGTTATTACAATTCTCATAGTATATCTGTTATGAATTGTAAATATACATGTATTAATTTTGTTAGTTTGGTTCATTATGCATTCTGTGTATTTATTAAGGATGCTTTGTGTATTTGCTATCCAGTGTCTAGCTGTGATAAGATTATTATTATAGCACTTGAATTTGCTTATAACTTGTTAGTGAGTTACTATCTATTTAGGTAGTTTTTTGTTAGAGAATGGTATGATTGTGCAAGGATTAGGAATCTGTATATCAAATGACAGGTGTGTTCTTTCTTCTATCTATTGTTGTATTAGATTAAACTATTTTGGTTGTCTACTCGTAACTACTTTTTGAATTTGATATTTTAGATTTTCTCAAGTTAAGAACTATGATAAGTCGTGATTAAGAAATTGCTCAATAAAAAATAGTGAATAGCGATTGAGTGAAGTTTTGATCATTGGACCAAACTTTTGCTCAGCTAATATGGAATTGATAGATGTGCCTTTTGTTGCTAGTGGTATTGGCCAAGGGTTAGCATTATTAACTATTTGTATTTGTTATACATGGATCATTATTATTATACTAGCAGTTAATGTCTTATTCATTTTTTTAGTAAAGACAGAAGCATTTCTGAGTATTAACTGATTTGATAAAGTATCATTTTGCAGATCTTGAAGTCTAATTTTAAGTGATGAATTGTGAAAGGATAAGTCATTAAGTGCTTTGACTATTTGGTTGATATGTTGCATAGTTTGTATATCTATGATTTGTTTTTTGATATATTATTGTTAAATTTGGAACTGATCTTGCTAGCTCTGCCTTTCTTTTAATCCCAGCAATATATTTTTTTGTTAATTTATCACAAATATGAGCTGAAATAACTGTTTTGGCAACAGTATGCTAATCTTGTAAGTATAATGCTATTAACAATATATATATACTGCTTGTCTGTTATATATAATCTATTTAGCTTGTTGAAAGCGAATTCTATTTCTTCTATAATAATTTGATGAATAGATTGGTTTGACTCAGTACGTGAAAACTAATATCCAAGAAAACAGAATGCTTGCTGTAGAGGTATATTATATAGAGTAGTATTGTCATAACTAATATTGGTATTTGTATCTGTTGAATTAGTTGCCAATACAGATTTTTGGAGATTGATTTTAATATTAACTAGTTGGTAAAAAGATGATGCAGTATTGAGAATCCTCTGCATTGTAGTTGCTGAATCAGCTACTCATATTATGTTATTCATAAAGGCTATAACTAATATATTAGAAGAAAATGTTTGGCTATTTGGTTCTGGAGTTGAAGTTTCTAGAGTATAACTTTTGTATTCTCTTGCTATTCGTGAAATGAAGGGGTCATAATAGATTCACTATAAGATAGGTGATATTGTTTCTCCTTGATCTATTCCATTCTGAACTTTATAAGTAGGTGACTTTTCTAGATTTGTTAGCACTTGATTTTGTCGATTAAGAAATATACTTGTAAGAAGAGCTATGAAGTTTTTTAAACATTTGATTCTTCTCATTGCTGTTCATAGTAGTGGTAGATAAATTGAGTCATATGCATTAGATATGTCTTGGGTTACTATCTAATATTCCTTATTTTTGGTTAATGCATCTTCGAGTATATGAGTTAGATCCATTATGGGTTTAGCTGTTGATGTATGTGGAAATGTAGTATGATTTTGTAGTGCTAGTATAGAATATTTATCTAATATCCTAATTAGTCTTGTGTTTATAATTTTTGTAAATAATTTGCGTATATGTTTAATTAATATAATTGGTCTAGTTTGCATTAGTAACCCTTTGAAAGTAGATTTTTTTGATATAGAGTATACTAGACTATGTTTTCACTATTTAGGTGTAATATTATGGCTTAAACAGAAGTTAAAGATTGAAAGCAAAACTTGTAGTGCATTTGATAGTAACCTTTTTATCAACTCATTTAATATTCTATAAGGTCCTATTGCTTTATACAATAGTATTTTGTTAATAGTTTGTATTAGTTTATGTTTAGTGATTTTGTTTGATAGTAGTTATACTACTCGTGATCAACTGCATCTAATGGTTTATAGAACTGTTCCTATTCTAGCCATTGGTCTTGTTCAATTGGGTTAAGTTTTGTCCAATTTGAATAATTTCTACTCACTTCTTCTTTAATTTCAGTTGTATCAGTAATTATATTAGATAACATTGTTATGTTATTAAGTATAATTGCATTAGTATATCTTCCAAGTATGCTGTTAATCATCTTTTTTGTATTAGTTTGAAAGTTATTGCATCTTTTTGCTACTGCAGCATGAATTTGCTCTCTAATTTCACTTTGATTTTTAGTGTTTCTAGCTGTATGAATCATTTTTCTTATATTTTTGAGCAGCTGTACTGTGTTATCTATTTGTCCATATTCTAAATTTTCTAGTCTAATTTCAATTAATTTGTCTTGTAGCAAAGCTGAAATTGACTATAGAGGTTTGTTAATTTTTTGAATCAACTATTTAATTGATTGTAGTGGCTTTATCGTCATAACTAGTTTAATAACTTTGTTAATTTTAGTTAATGCGTGATGTAGTATGATTGCCTTATAAGTATAAGTTTAGTATATAAATGGTTGCTATTTAGTACTGGAAATAGTTTTATTTGCTGTTTCTTTGATAATTAAATTAAATTAGTACCAGGCCTAGTTAAGTGTTTATTTGTCTTTGACCTAACTAGTGATTCGCTGATTTATTTTGGTTTTAATTTTGTCTGAAAATTGTTGCCACATATCTTCTGTCATTTTGTGATATATAAATACTTTTTTAGTTTGTTTTTTTCATCGAATCACTAGTACTGGGTCAATCATCTGCTATTCTAATATTAAGTTTGCATAGTCACTATTAGTAGCTGGAATAAATGGTTCTAATATTGGAGTATTGTACTTGCTAGCTATTTGTGCTGATACCTATATGTCATCGATTTGTGACGATAGCTAATCTCTTCTCCATATTGCTTATAGAATTTTGTTAAGTTGCAAAGTGCTAATCATGTCATTAACTTCCATAGTTTTAAAGAGTTGTATTGTATTACTACTGTCTTTTCGACTTATATAACTATTAAAGTCTTTGAGAACTAAGATATTCATCAATCTAGCTCTGCTAAAGTTTATCCAGCTAGCTATTTTGTGCTGTATTTG